GGGGGGGGGGGGGGGGGGGGGGGGGTCCAGCCTTCGTCTCGTCCTGTGGCGTGGATCAGGCTTTCCAATTAAAGCCTCATTTAGTTTGGGCATTGCTTGATGCGTGACCACGGCGATGGCGTTTTGTGAACCCGAGTTGAGCATGTGACTCAAAGCGGTATGTTATTTCAACTCAACGTGCCTGTCCTCTTCCCTCTTTTTAACCCAGATGTTGCAAACAAAAACCTAACATACAGCATTTTTAAAAATTTATTTATTTAGTTAGTTGTTATTTATTTATTTTTCAAATTTGTCAATGCCCATCTTACTGCAGAGCATCCAGGCAGGGGGACACAAGATAGCATCTGTTTGCACGACAAACGAATCTGAACCCTTGGGTAAAACGCCACATCTGGAGGGTGAAAAACTGCAACGGGTGCCCCAAACTCCATTTTTTTTCTTCCAGCAGGCCCTACCTCCTCAGCCGGAGAACCATAATCAGCTGGTGGTGAGAACAGCTCCCTGAGCATGGGTTTGACGAACCCTCCTCGCAATGAATGAAAAGGATGCCTCCCTCAAAGTGCAGAGCCATAGAGTCACAAGGTGACTCTAAACCTTTCACTGGGGTTGCAGAGCTGGGCTGCAAAATTCCTCACAGCCATGAAGAGCAGCCAAGACCCGCAGCAAACTCTTAGCTTCCATCTAGTGGAGATCTGGATTTGTGTAGCCCAGATATGGGGGTGGAAGGAAAATGTGGGTGTGTGAACTCAGCTGATTGTGGTTTAGGCAACGCACTAAGTCAAGGGACGTATTTGGAAAGATCTGCTGACCCCTTCCGTTCAAGGCGATTCGAGAAATCGGCGAGACGGTAAGGTCAATAAGAGCTCCAGCCCTTGGCTTTACCCATTCACGGGCCTTTACCGAGCCACTCACACCTTCGCTGGCTGCCTTCCCACAACCCCTGTACCTAGTTACTCAATTAATTCCTTTGGGGGGAGCGTACAGCCAACTGTCCGAAGGAGGCGACTCTGCCCAGCCGGCCAAGCCACGGACCAAGCGCAGCCTGTTGCGCGGTGCGTCTGCAGCTGACCGGGTTCAGCGCGTCGTGTGAACGGCGCCAGAGTCTTTAAAAAGGCTCTTCTTGCACACGGGAGGGCGAGTTTGGAAGGGTATCCCGGGTTGCTCGGCTCGCCCCGTTAGGCAAGCCCCGGTTGGCGACCCTAAGGGTCGGGGGAAGCCGCGGCTGGCTAG